CGGCCACACTTATCCAGTCGGAATGACATTCTGATGTCCTGGCTGTAGATCCTAGTGGTGTGGATCAGTGAGTTGATGTCTCGTTCACTCCTGGCATACGGCTTTATGTCATACATGTAGAGGAGGTGGCTAATGGTTGCTCCATTCCGTAGTCGGTATCCGTAACCACTCTTGGTAATGAGCTGGCTGAGGGGGTTCAGCCCTATGCAGAACAGCAGCGGGGACAGAGCATCTCCTTGGTGCGGTATCCTTGGTAGATACCGCACTTGATGTTGACTTGTGCAATTGGCTTGAAGTTGGTCTCTTGGGTTGTTTTCCACATTCCCATTACGTTCTTGATGAAGGCTCTTAGAGTCTTGTCGATGTTGTACAGTTCCAAGCATTCCAGGATCCATGTGTGAGGCACTGAGTCATACGCTTTCTTGTAGTCAATCCAGGCAGTGCACAGGTTGGTATGCCTAGTCTTGCAGTATCGAATGACTACTTTATCAACCAGTAGTTGGTGCATTGCTCCTCTGGTGTTACTACCAATTCCTTTCTGGGCGCTGCTCATGGATTGAGCCATGTGCCTGCTCATCTTAGCTGCTATGATGCCTGAGAGGAGCTTCCATGTTGTGCAGAGGCAGGTTATTGGGTGGTAGTTGGATGGTACTGCTCCCTTCTGAGGGTCCTTCGGGATCAGGACTGTCCGGGCTTCAGTTAACATATACATACAACAGTTTACATACACATACCTGTACAGTGGAATCTTGGATTGCGAGTATAATTCGTTCTGGCAATGTGCTCATAATCCAAAGCACTCGTATATCAAAATGAATTTCCCCATAAGAAATAATGGAAACTCAGATGATTCCTTCCACAACCATTCATATAAAAATGATTACAGTAATACAAAATACAGTATAAAGTAAAAATAAAACAAATTAACCTGCACTTTACCTTTGAAAAGAATCGTGGCTGGCGTGAGGGGCCATTGATGCAGTACAGATGTTGACTATATGAGTGAGGCACGAGAACCACCGGCTCAGTTGTGACGTGATGCTTGGCAGACAAAGCGTATGTACTACTCGTATTGCCAAATACATATTACTCGTATTTGTAATCAAAATTTTTGCAAAACACTCGCAGACTGGGTTACTCGCAATCCAAGGTTCCACTGTATATATGCAATTATATATACATATATACTTATGTGTGATTTATAGGACATATGCTGGTTATAATGACTCCAAGGTTCCTCACAGCAGAACTAGAGGCCAGAGCTACAGTACGTATGTCATCAGCAACTATATGGTTAGGCAGCAGATTTCTATGGTTTTCAGGTCCAAGTACAATAACTTCAGTTTTGTCAGAGTCTAGAAGTAAGAAATTACAGGTCATCCAGGCCTTTATGTCTTTATGACACGCTTGAAGTTTGACCAATTGATCAGATTCATCTGGGCTCATAGATTTAAAGGACACCTTGCCTTAGATCCTCTAGCATGCTATGCAGGCATATCTGACATCACAAGGAGTAAAACCATCAACTATATTAACATCTATTCAACATGCAGTACCTGTACATTGCACGTTACTGTGTGGCATTCCAACCCCCACACAATAATAACCTTATCATCCATGAACACTGGCTTTCATAAATAGCATTTATGTATGCCTATCTTAAACATGTCCTTTCCATCCTTATCAGGCCATTACAATAGGCTTGACTTTCAAAGCAGAGAGACAGGCACTGTGTGCTATGATAAAAAAAAATCCCAAGCAAAATAAAACAAGCTCCATTATAATAACAATGAAAGGGAAAGGAAGGAGATAAAGACCCGGAGCAGTATCAAGGTCATTTTGCTGCAGGGTGAGAAAACAAATCGAAAGGAAAATACTGGGACCTTCCTTAAACTGACTGCAGGGCGGCGGGATGAACTGGTGTCTGACTGTTAGTGCGTGTGTGTGTGCACACACTTACCATCTCCAGATGCGTCAGTAAACAATCTCTCTGAGCATCAGAGCATGCACTCTGGGTTTTGATTGTTTACATACACCACGGTGTTCAGAGTGTAATAAAAGGAAGTCAACTCCCCCAATTCCAAGTTGGGGAAGTTGTGAATTTCTGACAGCTTTGACGCTCACAGCCTGTTTATTAGGTACACCTGTACAATTCAATGCAACACTTCTCCTTAACATCTGTGCTTATGAAGCTCAGAATGTTTCAGTTGAATGTATAAATTCAATTCTATGTTTATTATGGAGGTCACAGTTAAAGGTGGAATTGTACTAGACTATATTATACCTTTTTCTTTATAATTTTGTCCTTCCCAGCTACATACATGAGATGGTCAGAATATTAGGGACACCACTATAATGTACAGTTGCAAAATCTAAACTAAAACTGAAAATACTAATTTGTAAATCATCGGTGTCCTGTATGACACTGAGAACAAAACAGCGGGACATTATTTGATGTGATACCTCATCAACTTTATTCTTTATTCAAAACAAACACTCACTTCAATTGTGATGCTGCAACACATTCCAAAAAACTATGACCTCAATAATAAAATATAATTTAATTTATACATGTATGAAAAATGTCAAGCTTCATAAACACACAGAAAGGCTGCAGTGAATTGTGTACAACTGTACCGGTGTGACTATTAAAGTGGCCAGTGAGTGTATGTGACTTAGCAAAAACAGCCAGAAACCACTGACAAAGTGGCTACTAAGCCACTTTAACTAGCAGTTACATCAAAATAAAATCTTAAGATTAATATCCTACAAAACACTTTTTCTTATTTGGTTTATTTTAACAAACTTCTACTCTCCTCCAGAGAAAGTATGCTATCTTATTGATATTTCTTTTCTCGTCTTTGCATATTTAAGTAATCCAAAAGTAACTGAAAGCAATCACTTCACATTATTTTATTATTGTGATATTTGGATTAAGTTATGGAATACATTTTTTAACTGGTAATTTGGAATTGTCTTGGAATACAATTTATAAGTAACCCTCCCATCCCTGGCTAGCAATAGGAGTAACCATTTTAGTTGGAACAGAGAATGTTTTCTGTGAGAAATCTCTAAGATCTCATTTTACCAGCTGAACAGCCGACAGACACCAGCTGGTGAACACAGTGGAGCATTTAGCTGCTAAAGAGCCAGATGTTTCCTTCAGGTGTTGATGGCCAAAAAAACAGAGCTAAACAAGAATGTGAGTGTTTTAGAATTATACTCATCAGGTGGGCACAAACACCACTCCAACTATTTGCTAACATGTTCACCATGTCAACTTAAAGTTGTGTTCACACCTTGTTAGTAGAGCAGCATTTCTGGTAGAGCTCGAGTGGAGGGATAGTAACACAAAGGACATCACTTAAATTGGAAGTACATTAAGATCAGTACTAATGCACTTCCAGAACAGATGACTAAAGCTGTGTAAACACTTGTTCTTTACTACCAGGCAGAAAAACGGTTTCACAGGCCTCTCTGGTTGGACCTTCAAGCCTGTAGCCCCTTTCACAGAAATACATTGTTGCATCTGTAACCACAACCAAAAATGTTACCGTGGAGTACACTTCACAACACTGCAGCGAGGTGAGAACTTCAACCACCGATCAGCCAAAACAGGATTTTCGAACTGCTGCTGTTATTGATTGAAGAGAGGGTAGATTCACAGAGAGCAGAACTTTGTCAAAATATATACAAGCTGTTCAGTGTAAGCTTGCAGGGCTCAGATATTGAGATTGTGGACACCTTTAAATACCTGGGTGTCCACCTCAACAATAAGAGACTCAACAAGCTAGTTAAAAGAGCTGGTTCTGTCCTGGGCTGCCCTCTGGATTCCATCGAGGAGGTGGCGGACAGAAGGATGCTGGTAAAACTAACATCCATCATGCATAACCCCTCCCATCCCCTGCACCACACAGTGGAGGCTCTGAACAGTTCTTTTAGCGCAAGACTGTTACATCCCCAATGTAAGAAGGAGCTTTACCGCAGGTCATTCCTCCCCACAGCCATCAGACTGTACAACACATCACTGCAGTGATAAAATAGGCGAAATTATGAGGGACTATGCAATAATCTACTGTGGTGCAATATTCAGCTCCTGGGGGTGAAATGCATTGTAAATAGGCTCATGTGTAATATCTTGTTCCTGATCTCTCTCAAATACTGTACATTGCCCTGCTTTAGGTATTTTTGAGTAGTTGCTCAGAGATCCTTATGGCTGAAACACAGGTTTCTCTCCCCCATTGTGGAATTAATTGTGTGAGTAATATTCGATTGTTCTTGATTTCCTGGTTGTTTAGTCTCTACTGCTGTTCCTGATTCTCTCCAGTGCTGTTCTGCACTGTTTTTAAGTGTGTCGGGTATTTTTAGTCAAATAGATATTGGATAGATAATTTATGTATTAGAAATGTTTAGTGGAGATAGGGTGTTTCTATGAAGTTCTGTTCTTATGTGTCTGTTCTTATGGTGTTATGTTGGTTGTTCTCTATTGCTGCTGTAACACAGAAATTTCCCCACTGTGGGATCAATAAAGTACCTACCTACCTACCTAATGATTACACACAGAGAAACCTTTAAGTCTGTGCAAGCTGGTTGAAATCAACTAAAACCAATGACAGACCAGTGCTATGCTCTGGGCATTGCAAAATGGTCAGCAATAAAAAAAAAAACATATGCCACTGCTAATGACCGAGCTAAAATGGCTTCCTCCCAGCCATTACCAAAACATAAGAGACAGGAGTTGCAGGTGGGTTTGCAGAGTGAGCACAGCTGGGAGTCAGAGTCATAGCTGCAGGTCTGAGTCTGTAGAAAACACAGGAGATTCAGCCTCAAAACAAACAGCAGATTTTGTGTAGCCAGGTGCAACAACTCAAACTGCCAGCAGCTCTTTCTTTAAGATCATTCTGTGATGAATGAAGGTTGTTTTGTGAGCTGTTCAGTTTAATGTAACAGAACGATTCTGAAGCAGGCTGAGGATTTTAAATATTTTACTGTTTGATGCCTTAAGGGACCATGGTAGAAGTAAAAAAAAAAACCAAACAAAAAAAAACATCATGATGACATACTGAGTTCTTTGTCCTTCCAATCTAGTTTTATTTTCTTTAAAGAGGTTCAAGGCTGATGACTAAACTTGTAGAGTCACTGTTAGTCTTTGATGACTTGACTATCAGGGAGCCTTCAGAGCCACAGCTGGGGGCCCATCTGTGAGGACGCTCACTGTGACTGGTCCCGCAGCTTTGCACTCAGCTCCTGCAGCTCGGCGATGAGTTGCTCCAGAGTAGCGACACCATCCTGCAGGTCACTGTGGACCTGACCTGTGGCCACATCTGTGTGCATTTGCTGAAAGAAAGTCATGCAGAGGTAAACAATGAAATGATGAGAAATAATGAAGTACATCACTCAAGAATCATAGTTATTTTTATTCATATTGGTTACATGTGTGGCATTTTAACACAGGGATATTCACTTTGATACACGAGCATGAATGTGGATGAGACAAGGAAGAATGGGGAGCCTCTGACTGTTAGTGTTTTATACTTTATGTACCAGCATGTTAAATGCTGGTGTGGGAAATCTGAAATACTGTCATGGTCAAAATACTGGCACCGCTGCATTTCTGTCAGATAAGGCACCACTGCTCTCAGAAAATTGCTGCAATCACAAATTCTTTTGTATACTTATGTTCATTTCTCTTGTTTGCACTGGACCAACATAAAAAAAAAGCTGAGAAAAAGTGAAATCTGATCCATTCTACACAGAACTCCAAAAATGGACTGGACAATATTATTGACACCTTTTCAAAATCATCAGAAATAGTTGTATGTCCAGCCTGCGATTCTCCTTTAATTTGTCATGAACCACAACAGTGGGAAATCCTGGACAGTCTCAAGGCTCCAAGTCCATCTCCAGAGATCTGGCTGTTCCTGTGTCCACTGTGCACAACATTGTCAAGAAGTTTACAGCCCATGGCGCCGTAGCTAATCTCCCTGGACATGGACCAAAGAAAAAAATAGATGATGGACTGCAACGAAGGATTGCTGAATGGTGGATAAAGAACCTCGATCAACTTCCAGACAAATTCAAGTTGACCTGCAGACACAGGGTGCAACAGTATCAGCTCACACTATCTGTTGCCATCTGAATGACAAGGGACACTATGGTAGGAGACCCAGGGGCCCCACTGCTGACACAGGAACATAAAAACCCAGGCTGGAGTTTGTAAAAACTTACCTGAGGGAGCCAAAATCCTTCTGGGAGAGTGTCCTGTAGACAGATGAGACTAGAATAGTGCCCTTTGGTCGAGCACGTCATTCTGTTGTTTTCAGAAAACAAAATGAGGCCTTCAAAGAAAAGAACACGTCCTTACAGTCAAACACGCTGGAAGTTCACTGATGTTCTGGAGTTGCTTTGCTGCTTCAGGCACTGGATGTCTTGACTATGTGAAAGGCATTATTAAATCTGAAGACTACCAATGAATTCTGGGGCACAGTGTAGGGCCCAGTGTCAGAAAGTTGGGTCTCCATCAGAGGTCATGGGTCTTACAGCAGGACAATGACCCCAAAGCAGACTTCACAAAGCCCCGGAAATGGTTTCAGACAATGTGCTGGAGAGTTCTGAAGTGGCCAGCAATGAGTCCAGATCTAAATCCCATAAAGCAGCTGTGGAGAAGGAACCCTTCAAACCTGAGAGACCTGGTGCAGCTGGCAAAAGAAGAGTGGTCCAAAATTCCAGTAGAGCGGGCACACAAACATGCAGGAGCCTTATCTGACGGTTCAAACTGGCAACTTTATTTCAGCTGTTGAAAAATAACATTCATGGAGTGTTTAATATTAAAAAAAAACAAAAATGTTGTGTAGGTATATTTAGATAATAGAGAAAGAAATGTGGAATTGCTGGTTCTTGTCATTTATTTATTTTTCCACGTGAATTTTTTTATAATTTATTTAGGGGGCAGAGAGGATGTTACTAGAGACTTTGATGTTATACTCATGTTATGTTGTTGGCGCAATGTTACAAGGAAGCTGCTAATAAAGTTGCATACGAGTACACAGTGGATTCACGTTTATTATTATATTTTACATATTTACAATATAAACAATCTACGTATCCCCCCCCCGGGCCGCAGGAAAATTGTCAGGCGTTGACCGGTCCGCAGTGATAAAAAGGTTGGGGACCACTGGTGTAGGGCACAGTGTCAGAAAGTTGGGTCTCCATCAGAGGTCATGGGTCTTACAGCAGGACAATGACCCAAAGCAGACTTCACAAAGCCCCAGAAATGGTTTCAGACAATGTGCTGGAGAGTTCTGAAGTGGCCAGCAATGAGTCCAGATCTAAACCCCATAGAGCAGCTGTGGAGAGATCTCAAACAGCAGCTGTGGAGAAGGAACCCTTCAAACCTGAGAGACCTGGAGCAGCTGGCAAAAGAAGAGTGGTCCAAAATTCCAGTAGAGAGGATGAAGAAACTCACTGATGGTTATGGGAAATGACTGATTTTACCCAAAGGGTGTGCTGCCAAATATTAAGCTGAGGGTGTCAATAATTCCTTCCAGTCCATTCTTGGTGGAGGCGACAGTGCGGTGGGTAGAGCAGTCGTTTCCCCAACCGGAAAGTTAAAGGTTCAAATCTCGGTGCCTGCAAACCACATGTCAAAGTGTCCTTGGGCAAGACACTGAACCCCCCCGTTGCCCCCGATGGTTAGAGCCATCGTTTGAGGTGGTGCCGCAGATGGCTACCTCGGTTCTGTACTGGAAACAAATTCCTTGTGTGTAACATACTTGGCCAATAAAGCTGATTATCCCTATCCTTTTGGAGTTCTATGAGGAATGGACCAGATTTGGCTTTTTTTGTTGTTCCAATGGAAACAAAAGAAATAAACATGAGAATACCAAAGAATTTGTGATTTTAACAATTTTCTGGGAGGAGTGGTGTGTTATCTGACAGGAATGCAGGCTTTCCGATACGTTTGGCTACGACTGTAAATCTTTATGGCAAAAAATAACTGACTGTGAACTTGAGCTATAAGTTATAAAACAGTTATAATTGGGGTGTGCTGCATCCATTCATTTACACTTTCTTGCATCTTGAGTAGAGATAGATTTTTGAGATCAATACTTTAACATTTAGAAAAGAACATGATAAATCATACATTCAAATGATTTATGTAACATAATTAACATTAACAAACACTTTGTTACAAATCTTTTAAATTCTGTTATTAAAGAACTGCAGCTGAAAAATAAACCTAACTGTGCCTTCTGGAGGACAAACTACTGTATGTAGTAGTGCCACTTTTTAAAACTGCCTTAAACATTCTTTGACTTTACTACATTTGAGCAACTTGGCTGCTAACACCAAGAGAAAGGTTTATGGGAAAGTTTGGTTTGCCACAGGGCATGGAGCGCAGTGATCATGAAGAGGAATGGTGTTCGGATTGAGCAATAGGCTGTAATGTACCTTAGCTTTGGTGACCAGACTCCTGAGGCTGAGGCGGGTGGAAGAGAGCATCTGAAGAGCATCTACTGGATGACTCTTCTTCTTACTGCAGCTGAGGGTCACTGAAAGACACATTCAGAAACAGGATCAAGTTGAAGTTTCTTTGAATCTCTTCCTTTTAATTTTTCTTAGATATGTAATTTGTATATTGTAATTTGTTACTTTTAAATGTTGATACTTTATAACCATGTAAAAGAGAAACCCCCTGAAAATGCCAACACTAAACTTAAATCAACTGTACTGTACTTTCCAAAATGAGAATGTAAATAACTGGCTCACACCATACAGTGAAATTTCTGCTAAATCCAATTCCTCACTTCATGACCCCCACTGGCAGCAGCAGTAAAGCATGGCATTGCTTTATAGACGGTACTTTTTACTCCACTGCATTACACTGTTAAAGTTACTTTCCACATTAAGATCTTACATATGAAATGTCATCTGCATTAGTGCCCAACTGATATCTGATGCATTTAATGACAACATATCAGCTAATATCAGCTTTTTAGCAAAGGAAACAGGAACAAACAGTTTTAATAAGAATTGCTTCAGCAACACATACTGAGCAGGGCACAAGGCAGCTATGCCAGAACGTCTGTTTTCTATCAGCCATCTAATTTAATTTAATCTAATCTAACTGAATCTAATTTAGCCATCTAATTTGTAAGCAAAACAGTTACATTAGATGCTTTTGGTTTTTTTTTTTTTTTTTTTTTACAGTTTTACAAATGTGAATGCTACTCGTATTAGGGAGGTTGCTGTTTGGTGTGATTTTCGCTGTTTGAAGTTTCCTTTCAGAAGAAAAATAAGAAAAAAAGTATTTTATTCTTACTTTAAAATCCATTAAGATTTTGCTTGGGTACACATACATGCCCAACATGTTTGAATGATTGATTCAGTATGAAACAACTAAATAATTTATTAGCTAAGATGAATTTGGGTTGTTCATAATTTTAACTTATGTAAATATTTGACCATATTCTAAGACAAAGTTGTACACAAATCCAGTTAATTCCAAAAGTTTCACTTTGTATTACCACAGCATGTCCATTCTAAATGCAGCCTCTACTGCAAACAAAGACTGAACCTGCTTGTTTCTTTGTTTTCATTATGATGCTCTGCACTATATATCAAAAGGGCAGCTAACAATTAATTTCACTGATTATTTTATAAAATGACAGAAGACTGTGAAAAGAACCTATCAAAAGTCTCCAGAGCCTAAAGTGGTATTTAAAAAACGATTTTTTCCAACCAACATGAAGTATTTGGTGTTTTACTTTACCATCGACATAGAACTATTTTATCTTGTCTCTTAAAAAGGTTTTTTGAGAGACCATCATCACCAATTGTTGGTGATGATGATGATGCAGGGAATTGTGCTGCTTCTTTTGTTATTTGTCTGACAACTGGCAAAACACAAAAGCAATTTCCAAATTTTCCATAATAACAGCTAACTAACTGTGTGCCTTCAGACGCTTTCCCACACAAATGATTCTGCTTTGAATAAGAGTAGCTGGATTGACACCAGAATACTGAGGGACCATGGCCCTGCACTGTTCCCTTCCTCCGTCTGACTGTTGAACATGTCAGCTCTCTCTCACATGAAAGGAAAACTAGCGGCTTCATGGCCCTTCCTGCTGCTGCTGCACATGTCACCCTGTTCAGATTTATGAAGGCACTTCCCTCCTGCTCTGCTTTATCTGTTCTTTGCTTTCTTTTCTTTTGGAGTCCTGTCATCTGTTTAGGTACCGCACCCACACCCATGGTCGGGTCATACGTGTAGTGCAAGGGTGGAGGCTGAGATACAGAAACACTTGGCATTTATCCTTATCCTAATTCTACAATACAGACAAGTACTGTGTGTACTGTACCACAAAGACAAAGCTCTATGTTCCACCTGATAGTAATGAGACACATATAAACATTAATACCTGTTGTCTTGTATAAAAATGGAAAACATCTTTTTTTTCTTCATTGTTTTGTTTGCAGTTCAGTCCCAGAGCAGTAAGCCAGTGAACTAATGTTTTTGTGCAGTAGACCAATCTAAACCAAAGGTCATACAATTACTTTCTAATATGTAACTCTGGTTCGAACATCCTTGCTGGCTGGTAGTGGCTGATGTTGTACTTGCACGCCTGAAGAGTCTTGCTCACTGGATGAACCTGAAAGTGGTGACAGTGACTTGACTCCCCCAAAGTCTAGGTGGTAAAAATGGGAAGTAGCAAAATTGTGAATTTGCTACAAACACTACAACCGTCATGAGCTCCATACTACTCAGACCACTACTGGTTGATGGCTGTATTTATATGTCAGAGATACAGAGTGGGGTGGCATGGACCAAACGTAGCTTGCCCCAGAGGATACTTTTAAGATGTAGGGAGGTGCTGAGTGGGGCAGTAGGCTTGAGATTTATCCTCAAGGTACAGATAGTATTAAAGAGCCTATGTGCTAGAAAAAAAAAGGCACAGGGCCAGATGGGATATCTGTTTTTTATTTGAAGAGATGCAGAGGAATTAGCACCTGAATGGTGCCCAGTCTTCCAAAAAACAGTAGATTCCTGTTCCATCCCTGCCCTTTGGAAGAAGCTGACCATTATACCTGTCCCTAAATTACCGTGCCCAAAACTGAATAATGACTATAGGCCTACAGCTCTGACCTCCATCATTATGAAGTCTCTTCTTAAATCTGCAGTCAACATCAGTCTAGGCCCATTTCAGTTTGCTTAAAGGCCATACTGACTCAGAAACTGACGGACATGCATGTTAACGCTTTTATTATTAGTTGGTATTGTTATTTTTTTAACGAACCATATGCAGCAGGTCCGAGCTAATAATGGCGTCTCAGTGTCTAAACTGAGTAGTACAGGTGCACCACGTGTCAGCGCCCCCGTCTTTTTTACATTATACACTAATGAATGCACAAGTAACTATCCTGGAAACTTTGTGATTAAACTCACATGATGCAGCTATTCTCAGTCTACTGCACACAAACATTAGTTCACTGGCTTACTGCTCTGGGATTGATCAATTTTCACACTAGTGTGATACTAATCAGCTCATGTTGAACGTAAGGAAGACAGAGGAGATGGTGCTTGACCAGAGCTCAGTGGGGGACAACATGCAGTTGATTACTCATAGTCAGTCTGTTGTACAAGTCACTTCCTATAAGTATTCAGGAGTGCACATTGACAGTGCACTCACCTGGAAGGTACACGTTAATGCACTGTGTTCTAAAACATATCAAAGGAGTTCTGAGGAGACTTGAACAGAAACTAATGCTACTTTATTACTAGGCGGTGTTGCAGAGTGTTATACATGACAGAATTACTGCTTGGTGTGGCAACATGTCAGTTCAGCTGACGTTTCAAATCTGTCAGCTGGTCAAATCTACTACAAAAGTCACTGGTGTTAAAAATGATCTTTCACTTCAGCTTATGCATGAATGGAACTTGACCAATTTTACTCATATTTTACACAGTGAATTTCAGCTTTTACCTCTTGGCAGGAGGTACGGAGTTCCTCGAGGCAGGCTGAATCACTACTTGTATTCACTTATTCCAGCCTGTATCAGAGCTCTTAATTCTACTTTGGGTAGTGCAGACAACTGTCTCCAGGGTCCTGTGCAATAACTCTTATATGTACTGGGTGTGAAAACCTGGGCTGTCTGTTTTTATTTTATTGAGATACTTCATTATGGAGTCCAAAACAAATTTCCTTGTTGGGGAAACAAATGGCACAGTACATCTTATCTTATATCATAGATTTTCACAGACTTTGTAGAGGTCTAGAATAGAGAGGTACAAGATATTCTCTGGAAAAGAAAAACATTTCTATTATGTCGAACATTTTAATGTGACTAGAATAAACTCAATGAAGCGGCTGTTAATAAATAATATCCAAACTTTGAGGGTGTTTAATTGAGGTCTGCACTACACTATTAACCCATCTTGATCAAATAGTGGCTGGAATCTACACAGATCTACACACAGGAAGAGACTTCAAGCCATTTTTTGAACTTCTTGTTTTCCTTTCAACTTCCCATAAGAACTGGGATTATTATGCAAATTGGGAAAACAAAAAGATGACATGATATTTGCACAGTTTGTGCTCTCACCTTCTCCTATATCAATGGCTCTTTTCATCACCTCCTTGAAGAGACCAGGTTCTTTATCCCAAACACCAGTCTGAACCTCACAGCGATGGGCCTTGGACAGGAACTGTAGAGCCTGAAAGGTCAACACCACCACTGTTATATAAAGCCAACACACACAGAAGTCAAATTCAGTCATCCACTTTTCTCTCCTCATTTGTTTTTCACTTTCTTTTTTATCTTGGGGTTTTAATTATTGGCTGGTTCAGCTGACTACATGACACTGACGTACCTCACACAACAGTAATAGGACATTTTGTCCCATATCAGACTGTTTTACATTTACATTTTTCCACTATAAATTTCTTTTTATAAAGTGGTTTTGCCGTGATGTCTATGTCATTTCATTATTCAAGGGACAAATGTGAGACCAACTACACTGTAAAAACTAAACAAAGCCAAAAACAACAACACAGCTCCGTCATACTGGAAGAGACCACTCATTTATTCAAGTAACTTTATTTTCCCTTAATTTGTCACCTGTCTGTATTTACACTTTGTGTTCAAGCTAACTGGCTTCCTGATAGACAGTTGATACATTAACTGTTAGAGCCTTAAGTTAAAATATTTTCAATTTGCTTATTTTAAGCGAATGTACATACGTTTAAATCTACTTGCATCTCATTGCTGATTTTGTATGAGTAGGTGTGGGTACAGAAGTTATACGAAAAATGTATGTGGAACATATGGCACAGACCTTTTCATTGTCGTCTGGGTTGGAGCTACGGCCATTACCATACAGCAGGGCATACTGCCGCCATATCTCTGAGTCACCACTGTGGCGGGAACTGACTCGACCCAGGAGCTCCTTCAGTTTGGGCTGGAGGGTTACTGCCTGCTCACCCTGGCTGTCCGTCAGGTTTTCAACAACTGCTCTTACTAGGATCTGTAGAATCTGCCATGGGGAAAAATAAATTACACAAGCAAAAAAACATATCAAGAACAGAACTGTACTGAAATAGAAATCACAACTCCTCATGTCTTAGCTTTCATTATTAAAGCAATGTGTTTGTCACTACACTTAGAGCTGAGCACCATCATTCATCACAAAAGCATCTACAAAATAAGACAATGGTCATCATCAATCATTTAAAAAAAATCAGCTAATCAATTTTAGTTTATGCCAACATATGAAACAGACTCAACATGCTGTTAACATTTTAACCAAGGATGTAGCCAAATCATGACAACTACAGTCTACTGTGAGAAAGAAATGCAGTCAGTGGTGCTTCTTAAATATAATAATACGCATGTTAATAGCTAAGGTAGACGTAAGAATAACACAACTTGTCATAACCTTTAAATACCATGCGTCTTTTGAAGTAAACATTCTTTTGCTTTTTTCCCCTCTTCCACCCCTCTACCCTTTAAGAACATTAGTGGTCTCCTCAGTTTAAGTTCCATCTGAAATCTGCCTTATGCAAGTTCTCCACCTCACACCACTAATGAACCATCTGTCAGGCATCGTCTTTGCTGTGCAACTCGGAGGCCACTCACTGCAGTGACGGTTAAGATAAATCAACTGAAAGGTTGATATACATACACACTACCTGAAGGCTACTACCTGAAGGCAACATAGCAGATGTTGAGGACAGCTACAAGTACTTTGGGATCCCGCAGGCAAATGGGAACCATGAAGAGGCCGCAAGGAAAGCAGCAACTACCAAGTACCTGCAGAGAGTAAGGCAAGTCCTGAGAAGTCAGCTAAATGGAAAGAACAAAGTCCGGGCAATTAACACCTACGCCCTGCCGGTCATCAGATACCCCGCTGGCATAATAAGCTGGCCAAAGGAGGAGATAGAGGCCACTGACTTCAAGACAAGGAAGCTCCTTACAATGCACGGCGGGTGTCACCCCAAGTCCAGCATCCTGAGACTGTACACTAAGTGGAAGGAAGGAGGCCAAGGATTAGTGAGCGTCAGAGCCACTATCCAGGATGAAACAACAAAGA